TGGAGTACTGCGATCAGATTTCGACGTATGTCGATCAGATTTGCTGTCTCTTGACCTGATAGAGTGGTGACTACTCAAAGAATCACGACTTGAATTTATTTTACCGCCTTCCTTAGCACTGTGGTTTAATCTAGATTCTTTGGATCGACTCTTTTTATGTCTTACCGATGGAATTGTGGAATGTGGAGTCGACGGTGGCGTTTTAGAATAAGTTGATTTAGAAGTTCCATCACTGCTTCTGTCTAAAGTCATTACAAATCCGCTATCATCGCTGCTCTTACTAGACTTCTTCTGGTAATTTTGGATAAGACTGCCTGTATTAAAGTCGTAACTCCAATCTCCTTTTTGGAGGTAATAATTTAATTCATGTCTCAGTTGGTTACGAGCTGCTTCGATATCAATTTGTTGTTGTTGCTGTTGTTGTTGACTATCTAAGTTTTGATGAAATACGTGAGTTGAGTTAGATCTATGAACGTGCTTGTTAGATACTAAGTTAGTTTGATCAGTTGCTTGAGTTTTTCCACTGACCGGTGGATAAGAATTACGCGGAGGCAACATAGGACGGGGCAAATTAACTCTATAACCTCTTTGGAACTCCAAAGGATTACGAATAACGTTATTCGCTTGCAGAGTACCCTGATTACCGAAAGCGTAACCATAAACTTGATTAGGATTAGGCTTTACATTTCCATCGTATTTATATCCAACATTATGGAATGTCTCGTTATTAGGTCCGTGCATGTTAGCATTTAGATTACCAGGATTTTTATATTTCTCTCTAAATTCGTTAATATTGCGTCTATAATCGTCCCCTTTAGATCCACACCGAGTTGTTGTACTTGTCGGATAGGTTGTCGTTGTTACACTTCGTGGTAGAGTAGTTGGTTTAACTTGTTGCGGTGGCTGATATGGCTTTGGATAATTTACTGATGTATTCGAACTATTTCGTACGTTCTTAGTTATTGTTTGCACACTAAGTGGCGCCATTTGTGACACCCTTAGTTGATCTAAAGATTTGCTATGCCGCGCAGGCAATGTACTAACGCCGCTTGTGATTTCGTGCTTTTGATTGAATACTTCATTACTATCAGATTTTTCTTTTCCTGAACGTGACGTACTTGCATTATTTTTTGCAGCATTAATATCTAGTAACGTCGATGCGGAATATCTTGATAATTGTTGTCCTTGTTGAATAGGGCAAGAGGAAAAAGCATTATTTGGTGGAAGTTGGATTTCGCTTATTTGATTATTTTGTACGATATACCTGTTCCGACAGGTTAATTCTAATTGCTTGTTATATGATTTGTTCATTTCAACGTTTTGTTTAACGAGAGTTCTTTTAGGAGAGCCATGAGGTGGTTTTTGCGGTGCTAAAGTCAAACTAGCTTGCACAATGTTTGGTACGCTTGTTTTAGATCCACTAAATTGTGGTTCAAGGACATCCATCATGGTTTTTGGTAAAGTTAATGTGACACGTGAAGCTTCAGAAGAAGGTCTTCTTGAGTCCATCAAAGAGCTTACACTACAAGCACAGTCTTCGCTCACAGGCTCCGAACAGAGGAACGGATCTGTAATGACGTGTATGATATATGGTTAAAAAAATAGCATGAAAATATATTATTATTTCATTTACAAATAGTACTTACCGCTGCCTGATTTGTTCGCACTGGAATTTAAAAAGGAGCGTCGTCTAGCAAATTCTGCTGTATCCTGATATCTGGAATAATAAAAAATAAAGCATTAATTGACTGTGAATTTGTAACATAAAACTCTCAATTAAACAGAAGTCAATCTTTTAAAACATAACATGACTTTAAAAAGTCAAATAAAATTAATTATCATACATATTTTAGACAATAAATATAATTGTAATTAGTGTAATTAACTTAAACACTCAGATTCCGCCAGAATGGCGCGCTGTGTTAATGTCTGAACGACATTGACAGCTGTCAGTTAGGGAAGTATATGCCAATAATGTAGTGATGCGCCAATCCTCAAGCGCAGTACTGATTTTATTCTTAACAAAAGTTAACAAGTTTATCCTACCTGTCCTCAAATATAACAGGCATTATGTGTGGGTCTCCGTCGAGCGCGATGCAATGCACGGGCAGCGGGGGCAGCAGCGCGAGGTAGCGGGAGCGTCGCGCTGCCTCACCCACACTCTGGTAAGACTGGTAGTTGCTGTCATAACAGCCGGCCAGCGAGTGCCGCGGGTTGTCCAGCACGAAGAAGCACTCGGAGAAGCGTTTGATGCTATAAGGATTAAAAACATTAACACGGGACAATTTTAAGACCTAAAGCCATAACTGATTTGTGAGACAATCGTGAAATACTCCATTTATCTTGATATATAGATGTAAAGTTTGCATAAAATGTAGTTCGGTGCTTAGTATACTTAAGAGTAAATAGTTGTTTTTATATTATGAGGTGGCAAACAAGCAAGCGGCAGACATCCGCAATTGCAGATGCGTTATCTACCCTTAATCGACGGAGACGCACATAAAGATGATATTTCCCCTTCCAATTCGTCTCCTCCGCCGTAAAATCCGCTTTTCCTTCCCATCCTTTCCTCTTAAGTAAATAGAAGTAAATAGTTTGGAAGACTAGACTTATTTTTGATTAGAAAAATGTATTGTGAATCAATTTGTGACTTGATAGTTGGTGGATCGGTTTTACCGTAGTGCATGATGTGCAGCGGCGAGCGCGTGGTGCACGTGTGGCCGATCGGAGGTGTGGTGCAGGAAGGCGCGCCAGCGTAGCGTGACCTCCGCACAGAGCCGCGCGATGTCGTGCGCTGCGCCCATCGCCCACTCCTCCTCGGAGCCCGCTTCCGGTTTCTAGATCAATACATTACAATCCAATTAACCTTGTTTGCTATAATTCGTCCAGTTTCATTATATATTTCAGTCGATGGAAAATAAGTTAAAGAATAAAATATCGTGAACGAATTACGCTTACTTTGCTATTATCACTGAGATCTTTTATCCTCTGTGCTACTTCTCCGACAATGGAGTTGGAGGAGGCTTCCTCTGGGCTGAGCTGCACGCCGGTGGAGCCGCATACCGCCAGCGCTCCCTGCAGGCCCTCCAGTGAACCAAGGAGAATGCCGCATACTTCAGCATGTACTTGCCTACACACGTAAGTGTCACCAGCTATGAATATCTATACTACTATAATAAAGCGTAAACGCACACTTCTTTGTTGCCTAAGATGTCAGAAATTACAGCATGTTTTTGAGTTATCCTTATTTTAATAAAAATCCCTACACTTACCTCACGCTTTAGGTTATATATTTTCACGCAATTAAACTTAGCTGGTAAACATATTTTATAAAAATTCTAATATGGGAAAGAGACCATAAGTCTCTGCCAACATCAAGGAAGCAAGATTGCCATGGATTGTCATCATGTCATGTCATTTTGACATTTGTAATTGACAAATGTAAACGATAAAATAAAGTTTTTATAATTACCTGCGGATGAAGCCGCATGGGGACAGCTAGTTAAGTTATAAAGAGGTATAAAACTAATTAAAAATGGCGTGGGTTACCTAGCGTGAGCGATCTTGCTGGAGTTGCCACCAGCACATTTGCCGCTAGATCCGAATAGAATGTTCTCGAAGCTTCCAGACGCGTTGAAGTTGGAGCCTGCGCTTTTCATTAGTTTCCCCCACTGTTTGCTTGACCGCGGAGTACTGAAATTATCGCAAATGGAGTATCCTTATCTTAACTATGTAGCTAACTAATAATTAGGAAAAAAACATACAGGCGAATAAAGAATCTCTATCATTTTGAAGTTTAAAATATATGCTCTAGTAATACTATTAAGTAAGATTCTGCTAATTTTAAGACTACAAATGTATTTTATTTACACACATGTTTTAAATTTACGTGTAGTCTTTTTCATGCAAATACCTTATTTTTCTTAATACTAAAACTAATAAGATGTATCTCTGCATTTAGATATGTACATCTTTTTACAGTACAGAAAACTACAATTTAAAATTAATGTAGTTACAAATATCAACAAATAAAGTTAAAAAAAAAAATTATGTCGTGAAGAATTTGTCTCTAAAATGAATTCCTCATGCGTTTGGTCGAAGGACTAACTATTTCTCATGTCTGTTCAAATGAATTTGACCGAATTTTACTTACCAGCTTTGCACATAATGCATGATGCTTTTTCTTCGGAGCAGCATGCAAGCAATTGAATACTTTATAACCTCCGTTTTAATCGAGATTTTAATATGAAAGCAATAAATTGATCACAATTGTTGAGAGTAGATCTACTTAGCGTCTAGTCGCGGGTATATAGTTGGGCGATTACAATTTTGTATAGCAGTCGTGGCCAGTCGAAATAGGACACTCAACATATACGGTTGTGTCTATTTGTCGCTCATCGATACCATCACTCGTCTTGTTTTAAGGTATACAACTTACTTGATATAAGGCTGGTGTAGAGCGACCAAGCTCGCGTGTATGGTGATGGATACAGCTGAGAGGTGGAAGTAGTCGAAGAGCACGGGAAGGTGATAATGCAATCCCTGCGACGGCTGGAAGTGCAGCTTCAGCACGCGACAGGAGACAGGCGCGAGGGTGCTGGATTGTGCGCCTTCGCTGCACCACAGTTCTACACCCAGACTCCATTCTGTTCGCTCTAGGGACTCTTTAAGATTGCGACTATCAACTGAAAATAAAGGCGTCTGATAAGATATCCGTTTATATCCCAATCTTCAAGCACATATGTATGTAGCTATCTTCAAATGAAGACTTTATTTTATTGTGTACACATTCTTACCTAACAAATGAGCTCTAAACTGGATGATGTCTCTTAATGTGACCTCCTCGTTCCGGTACATGATCTGGAAGGCGCGGGAGGCGGCGAGGCCCCCGAGGGCCGCGTTGGCGGAGGGCCGGCCGGCACGCGCGGCGCCATTGCCGCTCGACACCGATGTCTCGATGTGCACAGGTACCTTCGGGGATACTCGCAGGCCCACTCGGATTTGGTAAAGCCTATCAGAAGAATATAGTTTAACTACATCTCAAAGTAGGTTTTTTAGTAGGTTTTTTAGTCTAGTTAACATGATGTTGAATTTTTCTCATAAAGTTTTGTCAGAACAAGTCTTTCGAAATTTATAGTTCGCATAAATATGTTTTAGAAGGAGTTTGTTTAGAGCGGGCACACACCTTTGACTAATATATACCACGACTGTTGTTCGATTGTCGATTGTTTCAGAAAAAATTCAACTGTATAGTAGCACAACTAGAAATATAAACTCCATATAAGCTAATAGTAATTAAAGCGCGTCTAAATAATTACTAGGCAATAGTTTAGTCAAAAGTGTGCGCTCGCTCTGATGGCAATAAATATTTAGAATCGAATTCGCATTTCAAGAAAAAACTCGTAGGTAATTTCAAGTCGAGGTCACGAGTACGTCTATATGTAATTGATATGCTAAAAATAGGTCAACATATCGTAAGCCCGATATGTCTTCGTAAAAGCTTTCAGTCTATTTAATTAAACAGTAACCAATCTCATGAGACCATTAAAATAGGACCCTTCGCAAATCTTTGATCACTTAATTACCTTCGTCAAATATTCTCCACGTAAATATCTTTATTTTGTTCAATATTCGGTGTATGGAAAATTCCGAAGTAGCTTCTCAATTTCCTTTGAAATTCATCCACTTATTTATAAACAAGAAATTGTAATTACCTTACTCTGAATACACGTGACTCGGGTCGTTGAACTTTGAGACACTACACGTATAGACTGCAAATATACAACCTAGGGATACCATACGCCAAATAAATTAATATCTAACAATTAGGAACACATTTTTAAATATTAGTATACATGAATAAAACTATTTTTATTTTAATAAAACTACTTTGTCTTAAGATATTTTGTAGTTTCATTATAACACGTGCTTTTGTAAATTTTGTTAGTGGAAAAAGAAAGGTAATCAACGAAAAAGAACACAAAAATCGAGGTTCCCAATAACAACACAACCCTACGTACAGATTGTTTCCTGACAGAATGGTTTAATTCGATTGAGTGACAACCCTTAATTGATACTAATTCAATTGGCGACGTGATTAGATCCATCTGTTGATACCGGCGCTTGTTTTGTGTTGAATCGAGCTCTAATGAAAATATCGACTTGATATGTAAGTACGGAAATTGTCTTATTTATCAAGCTTTTATTCTAAATCAAGAATTCTATAACTCTGTATTACATTTTGCGTATTTTATTGCGGAAAATACGATCTTTATGTCGTCTTGTATGCACATAGATAAAAAATGTGCGTGTATAAGTACACGCTAGTTACGAGAGGCACGCAGCGGGCTTGAGATAAATAACACTAAAGAGGTCGAGCGAGTACGAGCCTTGGGCTTCTAATGATCTTTACAGTACTCCACTTTCAACTTTTCAAACTCGGCGCAATTTCACATTTTTTGCATGTATACTAGTAAAATTATGTGTTAAAATAGTAGTCCATTTATATCAGTTTTTGTCACTTTCAGCCCGGACACGCCTTTGACTAAACTAGCTTGATTGTTTCGCAGGCCATTCAACGGTTTAGTTGCACAACTAAAAATCCCGTAGTGAGGGCATGTCGATATAAGATCATATGAATCGAAGCGAGACTAAACAGTTGTGCTATAGTTTAGTTTCAGGACTGCGCACGGTCTTAGTAGTCAAGTTGAATGAAATAGTAGTTATGATTGCGCCAGGGCTGTATTTATTGTTCTAATTAAAATACTAAAATGAACCTCTTGTTACTTATCTAATACTAGCTGTTCTCATGCGGCTTCATCCGCATGAAATCATGAAAATTTTATTTTGTTGTTTACATTTGTGAAATTTTCTATAGCAAATGACAAATTGACATGACATAACAAACCTTGGCAATTTTGATTCCTTGATGTTGGCAGCAACTTATAGTTTCTTTCCCACATTAGGGTTTTTATCCAATATTTTAACCCTCTAAGTTTAATGGCGTGAAAATATAAAGCGTGACGTAAGTGTAGGGCTTTTTATTAAAGAAAAAAATATTCAAAAATATGCTGTAATTGCTGACATCTTAGGCAACAAAGAAGTGTGTGTTTACGCTTTATTATAATAGTATAGATGAAACAGCAATAAAATGTTAAACCATTTAAAATACAGTAAGCTATTTAAATTATAAAGTCTTTAAACATCCATGACTCAATTAATGAATCATCCGAATTGCGCATAAAATGAACGTACCATTTCGCGCATGAAGTTTCGCGCGAAGATAAAATCTTTTTACACCCCAATTCATTTACACCTGCCCCTCGTGCCGACCTAAATCAATTTATTGCCGGCGGACGGAGGGTCACACCGCAGTTTGACAGCCGCCGGCTACCAAACATGGTTATATACACCTATGTATGTATATCGCGTGCAAACGACCGTTAGAAAATCGTACAGCTACATTTTTACAAAGAAACTAGAAAATAACGATTGTATTTTAATGTATTCTAAATTTATCCTGTCTATAGTAATAAACACAATATTAGCTAAATTTTCATATTATTACAATATCCAAAACCATCCTAGTTTTAGTTATGAAGATTTATTTTAGACAGTTAATTCAGGCTGAAAATACGCATAATTTGTGCGATTTTTTGTGGCTTCTACACATTCGGCGTTTTTATTTGATAACTAAATATATTTAGCATGTTACAAATTCATCTTTGATTATAATGTTTAGTATAGTTTAAATTTTGGGCCAGAAATAAAATGTGGATAGAAAGTTATTAGTCAACGCGTTTCGTAAGTTTTAAAACTAAATAATGTAACAGGTGGCGCTAGTTGAGCGTACAGATCCGATACGATCATTTGTCACATTCGCTCATTCGGTCGATGCAGATTAAATACGGCGTTGCAAACAGCCTGGTGTGATTAATTTGTTGTTAAATATAACCAGTAGTTAAGGTGAGGTAGTTAGTTATTTCATATGTTATATTAAGGCCTGTCCCAATACTGACTGATAGAGGCTCAGATAGCTAAAAAATGACGTCACTGTAAGATAAGGGAACAAAATCCGATATGTCCATCACATATTCTACACGTTCGATTGTTATAAAAACAATTTACAATTTGGTGGGGCTAAACCTAAGTGTCAGTCTAGTGACGTCATTTTTAAACTATAGGAGCCTCTATCAGTCAGTGGTGGGACAGGCTCTTAAACTTTTATTTAGATTACTCATTTCATTCTAAGCTGCGGATATTTACTTTTATTTTAAAATCAAGAAAAGTATGAAATTGATTTAAAAACCTTTAATAATGAAGCCTCATATAAAATAAATTTGTACTCCGTCAAAGTTTAATGATAAAAGCTAGGATATTCTCATGTAAATTCCTTCGCCAACATCCCTCAAAGTAGTTAAAATATTGACAGGAATATTCTGGAATATTCGTACCATGTAATCGCATCGGATGCAGAATATTGGATTGGCATTTATAATCAAATATCTGCGGAACTTTGGAGAGACACCACGTAAGCGGTAGTTTAATTTGGAACTGGGTCAGATAATGTCCAACGACGTGTTGGAAACGTCACGGAGGTACACTCGGACAGAAATATTATTCTATTTGTATAAACGACCGGCCAGATGCACAGATAATATTTATTGTCAACAGATGAACGAACTATTTTTTTTAAACGAATGTGATTCATTCAATAGAGATGGGATTAAAAGATCATACGTCACACATTTGACCGTTTTTAACGTTTTTAAAATGTTATTTTTATTTAAGGTGAGATTTTTAATAGAAATAAGACATTTCAGAATATATAAGTAATTATTCGAATTTTTAGTTTCGTTAATTGATGTTGAAAAACGATATTATCCGAAAATATACTAATTTTTTTTAAATTGTTATCAGTGTGGCCACATAAACAGAACAGCTGTTAATTACAGCTGGGAGTTAGGTTTATAGCCGGCCAGTTATTTTAGACCGCTATACTGTTAGTTCGGCCTTGTAGCGTTGTAGCGAAAAGTCAATTATCAAGATCATGTTTGAACTACATGTGTTTGTTACATCTTTGTTATATGTCGACGTGTATCATTTTTATGTTTTTATTATAATTTTTAAATACATTTCTATTTCTAAAACGCTATTTGCTTATTTATTAAGGTGTGGAAAAAGCTTTTGTAGTTAAAAATATACATGTACATTATTTTGCGTAATTGCTTTACGCTTTGCGGGAAAATAATTGTTTTCACATGAAATGAATATTTTTAGAACAATCAACATTATTTTTCCGCTACTTGACCTTAAAGCAACCGTTTCAGTCGCTGTTTTAATATCGGTACGGTATTTATTTTTATTTAATCCGGAACAAGCAATCTGTGAAAGATGTTTCTGTTATGGGTATATATTATTCCATTGAAAAAATATACGCAATTGTAATTAATTAAATACGATATCTGTTGTAGGAATTACTAAACTAGATCGTGTAATTAAAGCGGTTTGCAATTCCCCGACGTCAGTGCGGAGCTTTTGATTTGGCATGGAAAGGAAATGAAGTTCTGATAGACAGAATGTTATTATTGGCTACATACGTGTTTTCGAACAGCAATGTGCATGAAATAACAGACTTTACAGAATATAATTGTTTTAAGCATGTTAAAAATAACGAATGACTTGATATTGAAACTACTAAAACAAATGTAGATGAAAATCGATTGAAATTTTTGAACAAAAGTGAAATCTAAGTCGAAATGTTAGAAGACAGACATAACAATAAACCAGCCTTATTGGTTACCCCATTAAATCCTCAAGTTTCCCTACTTATCATTTTATTAGTGTACCATTTAATGGTTACAGTCTACTTATTTAGACGACGTTATTGAAAGATAAACCATTAAAAAACAGTAAAAGAGACACAGTTAAAGTATTATAAACGCCTTTGGCATGAAAGTAAAATTGGATAAATGCGGTATCCTTATAGTCATCCACTTGCCCTTCCTTACGAAGGTTGCGCACATTATGTTGCTCTTCCATACATGTCTATCAACTGTCATATCTGAATCCACTCCTTTCTTAAGCATATCCTCTTTCACACAATCCATCCATACTTTCTTTGGTTCCTCTACCTTTGTAGCCATCGACATTCAATTTTAACACTTTCTGGTTTATGCCCTCATCGTCTCTCCGCGTAAAGTCATGCGGAAAGACATGACATGTTATATGATAAGACATAAGAAATGCGTTATCCTTATAGTACCGTTTACAATTTTCTTAATTGTCTTCATGAACATGTACTAGATTACTCTTTTCATACCCGTGTGTTCTACTTGCTTGTAAACTGAACACAAACTGTTAAATTGTGTTATTAAAGGCGTCTTTAATAGTGGTAGTGTATATGGTCCCTTTTACAAATAGCCTAGTTGCACGCCTTTATAACGACCAAAACATTGTATTTTAAGCAATAAAAGTCAACGAAATTGCACTGATGATTTATTTTTGTAATAAATGTCGGTGGAAATTTATTGTAGAATAGCGAAGACTGTGTTGTCTAAACTGTAGATGTAATTTTACGGTTACATTTTAGAAACACTGTTACATAAAAAATGTTACCTGTTTTCTATTTTCAAATAAAATGAGAGGGACAAAGAATGTTTGTTGAGGAAATGTAGATAATGTTTAAAATCATTCCTATTTAACCAAAAAAAGGTTATATACATTTCTAATATAAACTTAACTAGCTGTTCCCATGCGACTTGATCCGCATGAAATTATAAAAATTTTATTTTAATGTTTACATTTGTCAAAATTATCAATTGCAAATGTCAAAATGACATGACATTACAAACCTTAGCAATTTTGCTTCCTTGATGTTGGCAGCAGCTTATGGTCTCTTTCCCACATTAGGGTTTTTATCCAAAATATTTACCCTCTAAGTTTAATGTCGTGAAAATATATAGCCTAAAGCGTGACGTGAGTGTAGGGCTTTACATTAAAAAAAGAATTATTCAAAAGTACGCTGTAATTGCTGACATCTTACGCAACAAAGAAGTGTGTGTTTACGCTTTATTATAATAGTATAGATATAATATCACTTATTAAGAAGAATGTAAACATAAATGATGTTTTCTTTTGATTGCTGATTACAATTTGAGGCTTAAATAAAACTTAACCTTACTAATGATATTTTTAAAGGCTCTACCCTACTAACCTTAAATTTATCAGTTCTTAATATTATAGATTAGAATAACAAGCTTATATACAAAGTCAACTACTTGTACGAGATTTACGTACTTGGGTTTGTTTAAAGAGGGCATTAGGTCGTCGTCCGCCGCGCCCTACCGAGGTTTGGTGGGCTTCACGTCTTAAAACCAATCAGTCGAATCAGGTTACTTCAAAATTTACAAACCTATAGCTAAACTACGTTAAGTACAGATGTGTCGGGAAAGAAAGCTTAACTAATAGCAACGTTACTAGGTCTAAAGTGCCGTAAGACAAGAAAAGGTAGCGTCCAAAGAGGGCGAGAAGCAGTGGTCTGAAGGTATTCATTACATATTTAGTAGACCCACTACTTTCAGTAAAAAAAATGGGAAGATTATTGCTAATTTTCTAATATCTCTTGTACTATTTCAGGTTAGCTCTAGACTTGTGCTAGGAACGGTTAACGCTAATACCGTAATATCGGAATTGGAACCCACGACCATTTGCTCCCTAATCCGTACCCTTAAACGTTATTGGTGCAAACTTCAATTATGTATTATACCCATATGGTTGCTAAGTGGATATAATAATATTTAATCAATATTATAAATGACTTGCAATGTACGGAGTTCCCTTACGTTATATCGTCAACTATTCAGGTATGTTTTCGTTTGACAACCCTAGTTGCAGTGTGAATACGAAGAATAAAAAATTCTAGCTAGCAGGGTGGATAGACTAGGCAGCTGTGAATAATTTATGCTAGGGCCGAGCATTGTGAACTTCTGTTTTAAAAAACGATGGAAAATATATGCTCAGTGTGAAACAAGACGGCAGTGTATATCATTATGGAGTAAAGATGTACAGATTAAATCTTGTAATAAACAAGAAAATTGAAAATACATGATTAGAATAGAAAATGTAACTGTAAAAAAATGTACAATATCATTCGTCGTAAAACTGAGCACGAAGTATTACAGCTGTATTTAAAAAAAAAAAAACGAAACTGGAAAAATGCTCCGCCGTACAAACAATGAGTCTGCTGATTTTTGGACTTAAACTATTGTTGCTTTCAAAACAAAGAATTTGAAGAGAAACAAAAGATTAAAAAGTAAACGAAAATTTAAAATTGGAACGATTTAGTGATGACGCCGAGGTCGGTAGCGCTAGTGTAGTGTTTACAGTAAGATATGAATTGCTTTATTGATTTTTAAGCAACGAGAGAATTGCTTGTGTAAATAATACAACAAAATAATTTATTGTTATGATTTACATATGATTATTAAGTTTCTTGATGTGTGACTTGGTGTATAATCTTGTTAAAGGCAGAACTTTAAGTACGGGAGGAAGTCCACAACAGTCCAAGTGATCAAATTGCCACAATTTCAATACTTAAGGAAAACATTTGTTTTACATGATTACCAGATCAAGGGACCCAGGGGAAAAACAGGATCTTTTCCCTGGATCTAAATTGTTGCTCCTGTACTCGTTGGCATCATTGTTTATCCATCTTACGATATTTCTTCTTTTTGGAATTGGAACAGCATTCAATGACAACATGACTAGACATGTTCTGCGTATTGTCAGTATTGATTTGAAAATGATTCATCGTCAAAAGACATTGTTACTTCCCGACCTAAATAGCTTTTAAAGCATTCGAGAAGTGCCATCCAGTTCTAGAAGATTCCTGGTAACATGAATCAAAGACTAATAAATCTTATTTTTTTACTTAGCACACATTGTTACAGACATTGCAAATAAGATAGAGATGGATAGGTACATTATTTTATGATAAGCTTTAACGTCTTTAACTTGAATTTATTGTCACTTGCAACTTACTATTGACATGTTACTGATAAAAATCGCAGTGAATTGGAAATTAATTCACAAAATAATGTTTCGTCGGTCGTCGAACATATTTCTACGTTTGTCTCTTAAATACTCTTTATTAATTTTGAATTTCATTTTTTTTTTTCACTAACATTTCTTTTAATTCAATTTTCATGTCAATCATTATGAGATTGTTTAATCTAGAAAACTGGAGATTTATTTGTGTTGGCTGAATTTATTTGACTTTAGAATCAATATTTGACTTCTTGTTTAGTAAACTTAAACACATCTCATCTTCATCATAGTTTACGTGTAAACAATTTGTTAAAATGTTTTTCTTATGGGTCAATCAAATGCTGATTTTCTTTTAGTCAATTTAAAGTTTTAATCTGATTAGATTTTTTAAATTTCGAGCAAATAATCATTTTATTGAGCTCCCTGTTTTGTCTGCGGCAACATTCATAATAAAATTTTTTTTCATGGTGCTTATGTGTTAAAAACACAAACATAAATTAGATGTTCTACTCGTACTCGTTCTGGATTTTTTGTATATTTGTGGCGTGTTTAGTTGTTACCAAGCAGTTCGTTAGAATTGTTATATATACTGTTTAGTTATATAACTGGCGTAGAGCTTGGAGATTGAATAGCTACGCGATTTAGCCGGCCACTTCTACACAGATTTTTAAATTACGCTGTAACACAACTGGCAAGTACTGATTTATCATCACCTACTTACAGATATAGTACTTTTGACTATAAGTGACGAGTTTAATTGATTTAAAAGCTCGTGATATGAATAATAAATAAGGTTAAAGTTGATAAGACAAGTAGTTAAATTCCCATATTGGTGATCGATCGTGGCAAGTGGAAATACCTTTAGTCTGTTATTAGTACTTACTAGTTAGTATTAGTTAGGTTATAGTTGAAATTTAAGCTATCAGTGTAAGGGTACACGTCTCAATTTAAAGCACTGAACACGTTTTGACCCTCGAGATATCACATTCAGTCACATTCAGTAATAGCTCACCCTCTCTGGAAGAGATC